CGTGGTACCACACAATTCAGTAAAGATGAAGTGAGGAAAACTAAACAAATAGCAAATCGTAGAATATATATGTAACAAGCTATTAGGAGGATGAAATGCTTCCGTATACTAAAGTATGAATTGCCTTTAACAATGCTTCATCACTTGGATGACATTTGTTCGAATTGTTGCAGGAATCTGCAACCTGTACCCTCCTTTGCCAAAATATNATATATATATATATTCATTGAATCCCTGAATATTTTAACTAGAGTTGCATGTTGGACATATCCAGTCACCTTAAGACTTCAGTGAAGACTTTGACATCTTAATGCATTTGAAGTTGTGCCATTTGTCACACAGCTAACAACATATACTTCTTTGACCGAAGCTTGTAATGTTCTCTTGCTCTTTAATTATTTGGCGACATATTGGACAAAAAAATACATTTCCTATCATGTCTTCAGTCTCCATGTCCTCCACATCTCTATCATCTGCAGCAACGCTGTCTGTGGTGGAGGCCTGAAGCATGTCAGGGACCATATATCTTTGAAAGAAAAACTCCAAGTTACTGCACATACTTTCCCAGTAGAGGTTATTGAAACTTATTCTTTGTTGGAATATGGCATATGTAGTATACACATAAAAGTCACAAAAGTGCCTTCCAGTCACAGCCATTTGACATTGGATTTGGCCATAGTAAGCATGATTTTGCTTTAAAAAGTGGTTGCCATTTGCATATCCAAGGTATTTAAGCATTTACCTGTACATGACACATTTTTGTCTGACATTTATCACAAGGAGGGATTACAGGGCATTTTATCTCTACAATTCTCCACCACAGCAACTACAGGATGTCAGGACTTGCTCCCAAAAATGATTTTGTTGGGTGTATATAAAAACCACAATTTTCAACATTAAAATGTTGATGTTGTTGTTTGTTTCCCTGATAAAATTCCTCTTTTGTTGTTGGTTCCATTTCAAGTCCATGTTTCATGGCCCTTGGTAATTGTGCTGGATCACCTGAAGATATACATGTATATGTATATATTATATGCTGATTTTTTTATTATACATAAATAATTGTTAAGAATATATTCCAAGACTCAATCCAAATTAAATATGAGTAAGGTGTTATTGTTACTTCAGTCGTACATTTAATCATTTTTGAAAGAATTGCAAATTTTGTATGTATTCGGTAGTTTGTGAGTTCATTATGTAGATCAGTTTTTATTGGAACAGTTTTTGATAAGGGTTTACATAATGCCCCCTCTCATTCACAACAAACAATGTTCTATTTACCTGAAAGCCTTGATTCGCCCTTCAACACTTTAAGAGAGATGTGGTGTCAATTTCCACGGCTGCTTTCTTGATGGTATTCACCTTTGTATGCACTGCATAAAATCTAAAAAAAAAGGGATCAATAAGAACTTTTTTTGCACATGACCTCAAATTTTTAAATAACATTTAAATAGTGCTAAGGATAAAAGATTAAAGAATACTATTAGAATTGCTCAGATCGTGTTTAATGATCCAACACATGCTACTTGGCCAAGCATTGAACTTGCAGCTTTGAAGTGTTCAACTTGTTCACATGTTCAAGTACAGCATCAGTTTGGAAATCTATATCTATATGAGTACACAAAGTCAATCAATTTAATGATACAT